CCTTTTTCATGGATTGGCCGAACTTTTTTCTTTCCCTTGATCATTGTCATTTAGTCTACTTTTGTTAAGTTTATATATGTATGGTTAGCTCAACAAATGTTTGTGAAATTGCCATAACCTTTGGTTTTCTTTTTTAGGTCCATTTCATGCATCAAATGTTTACACTTAGCTTTAATACTATGTTTAATTACTTTGTCACATACATCACTCATGTAATCTAATTCAAGCCATCAAACCCCAAGCCAAACCCCCAAACCCTAACTCAAACCCTAAACCCTAAACTTAAATCCTAAATTTAACCCAAACCCTCAAACCTTAAACTGAATCCCTAAATCCCAAATCAAAACCCCAAACCTTAAGCTCAAACCCCAAACCAAAACTTCAAACTCAAACCCTCAAACCCAAGCTAACTTAAACTTCAAACCCAAATTTAAACCCTAAACCAAGCCCCAATCCCTAACCCCAAACTAAACCAAATTGAACCGAACTAAACCTAAACCCTCAAACCCTAACTTAAACTGTCAAACCCTAAACTTAAACCCCAAGCCAACCTAACCCCCAAAACCAAACCCTAACCTAAACCTGCAAACCCTAAACTAAACCCCAAATTGAACCCAAACCCTCAAACCCTAAACTTAAACCCCAAATTGCTTAAACCCTAAACCGAACCCAAACACCCCAAACCAAACCTCAAACCAAATCCCTAAACCCTAACCTAGGTCCCAAACCCTAAACTGAACCCCAAAACTTAACCTAAACCCTAATAACCTAAGTCCTAAAACCTAACCTAAGTTTTAAACCTTAAACACCAAAATGAATCCAAAACACTAAACCAAACCTTAAACCCTAAAAACTAACCCTAGACCCATTCTCATGCATTTACATTTCAATTTAATAAATTGTTACATGTATTAGCATTTTTGTATTGTCATCCATGCACTCATATTTGTCATTCACATTTTAATTGTCATGCATATATTATGTATTATTATTTTTGTGCATATCATTTACATGTTTTATGAATAAAGTGTTTTAAGAAAAAATTTTTTTAAATAAAATAAGGTAATATTTCAAGTAAAAATAATTCTTAAGATCTAACCTAAATATAGAGGGATTTTCAATAATAATCATTTAAAAGAAAGATTTTCTTGGTTTTATGGGAGCATTATGAAAACTCCTAAACTAAAAAGATATTTTTGGAATTTCACCTAAATATAGGGGAATGAAGGAGATGTTTAAGTACTAAGGATTTTTCATCTTGATCCTTAATAATTTATTTTGTTTTTCAAGAATTCAAAAACAAAATAATTTGTTTTCAAAATTTAAAGTTCAAAATGATTTGATTTCAAGAAATACTTTTGGAAGGAATATATGAAATTTAAGGAATTAATTTGCAAACAATAAAGTTAGGACCATTTTTATAAAAACTCAAGGATAACATGCAATCAACTAGTACTATTTTTTAATAGGTGCTGTGAGGATGCTAATCCTTCCCTATGTGTAATCGAACTTTCAAACCCAATTCTATTTTCGAAAACCATGAATATCTGTTTAATAAAATTTAAACTCATTTTATTATTTTATTAAAAGGATACACTTTTTAGGTAGCCAATCATATCTAAAAAAAATTGATGGTGACTCCCTTCGTTTTGAGATTTTAATATGTTGTTTTTCAGGTCCGACTATCGAGTTCCCAAACCCACACGTTGCAACAACATGGGATTAAGTGCTATGCCGTTAAGAACAAAATGAGAAGAAATGAGCATAGCTAAGATGATGATATTTAGATAGATGTATGGTAAGGCTAAAAAAGAAAAATTAGAAATGAAGAGATTTGAAAAAAATTAGGGGTAATTCGAATTAAGAAAAAGATGAAAGAGAATCATTTGAAATGGTTTAGACATGTAAAACGTCTGCCCATCTATACACCAATTAAGAGAAATGAGATTCTAAATTTAGGAGAAACCAAAAACTTTTAGAGATAGACCATGAAAAACTGGATGCAAGTAATAAAAAATAATATAAGAGTTAAAGAAGTAGATAAAAAAATTGTTTGTTATAAATTTAAAGTAGATGAAGAGGTAAACCTCAGAATTATGAGATATAAGGCTTGATTTGTAAGTAATAATCATAATCAAAATGATAGTTGAAACTTCTTGTTTAACATCTAGATTTTTTTGAAAATTTATAGTGACATTTATAAAAAGATTGTTGAAACTTTAGTTTAATACCTTGATCAATTCTACTATAATTTTTGAAGATTCCAATGAATTATTCCTACACCTAGATTATTTTTTAAAAAATAAAGATGTGTAGAGAATGAAAAAAAAAGAATAAAATTAAATAACTTGAAATATAAAAATATAAAATATAAATGACAGATATAAATTTGAAAAATTATAAATAATAATTCTTTTTTTTTAATTCTTTGATAAGTAAATACTTTAAAATTTTCATAAATATGTAAAGACAATTTAGAAAACTTTTCAACATAATTTTTTTTTTTTTTGTGTGCAAATAAGTTTGTAGCTTGGAGATAGAGAAAAAATTGCAAGTGGTAGAACTCAAATTTCATATTTGTTATACGCAAACTAAGGTTTTGCCCGCCTTTATCTCCAACTAAATCTTAAAATATTTTATCTGACTCCAAACTGACCTAACATCTGATTATTATTTTTTATACTTGATCTTGACCCAATACTTATATGCATAACATGTGTCAACCCACATCCAACTCAAAATTAATTTAATAATTTTAATTTAATATAGTATTCATAAAAACATTATTTTTTTAATATAAATTTCATCTTAATTATATAAAAATATAGCATTTTTATTAAATTCACATATTAAATTAAGATATTACATGATAATTTTATTAATATATGCATATATAATTAAATAAATAATAAAATATATAATTTTATTTAAATATCGAGCGGGTCAAGACGAAATACCTTGAACTTGCCTTCTGACTTGACCTCGACTTTTAAAAAAATACTCAACCCATCTTCAACATAACCCCCTATTTAAATAAAAAAAAGAAACTAATCCTACTAATTATTTTGCCTTCCCTAATGCCACCTATAAAAGTAGTTATATATATATATATATATATATATATCAATTGAGTTAAATCTGGATTTCATAAAAACATTTTATTTCTACAAATGTTCAACTTAAGAAGATAACAAAAGAGTACAATGAAATAAAAATTATATTAAATAATAGATTTATATTTCAAATGTTAATTGATATTATTATATTATAATAAGAGAAATTATTATTCTTTAATTAACTGATAAAAAAAATTTGACCCATGCAAAGCAGGGCCTAAAACGCTAGGAACATTATAATTGTAACATTATTAAAAGTAATCCAAAGGAGCTCAGTTGACGACATGGGACGGGCATATACTCGCCACATAGCCTGCTGTGTGACAAAATTTTTATTTTTATTTTTATTTATTATAATAAAAATAAGTAATAATTAAAATAATATTAATTCATAATAAAAATAAATGATAAGCATAATAACTTTAATTCAAAATTTTCACTAAAAATAGAAAGTTAAAAAAGGACAAAATGTAAAATCAACCAAAAAAACTTTAAAAAAAAATATTGAACGACAACAAAAGAAATTTCTCATTTATACTATAATTAAATCTATAATTATATATATATATGAAAATTAAGGAAATATAAATTTACATGCCCCTATTTATTTGTTTGCCATGTGATTCATGAGAGCTTGACACGCAAGTTTTCCTTGTAATTTATGAAGTGCTGTGTGGTGTATTGTTAGCTTCTAAAGTGGTCCATGGCCTAGACTGTCTTTCAAATCCTTAGACCGAGCATTGGACAGAAATTTAAGGCCCAAATTCAGTCCAATTTGGATTATTATTTTATTAATGATTTTTTATTTAATTTAATTCTAAAATATATTTTAAAATATTAAAATATACCATGTTTTATTATAATATTTAATGATAAATAAAATTTTAAAATTTTCAATTTATTTTTTTATTTAATGTAATTTTAAATTTTTATAAATAATTTTTTTCTAAAAAAAAGTATCCCTCCAAAAGCGGGAAGCATTAATGCATTATAGTGAAGGTTAAATATTGAACTGTTCTATGAGTTCATCTTATTGGAGTTTAGAATATGTTTATATTATTTGTGTTAATCTAATAAATTTTTTTGATAAATTTATCTTAGTCTAATATTGTAAAACAAGTTGACTCTTATAATCTTTTTTCAAATATTGATAAATCTATTAAAAAGTAATAGATTCGAACAAAATTTTAAAAAATATTACGACGTCAATATATAAAATAGAAAAGATAAAACTTTGACTCTACAGACTACAACGACAATATTATTAATTAAAGTTTGAGAACCAAAAAAACCAGTCGCGGGACTCGGGAGGATTGAGTCGAGCTCGAGTATGACCTAAAGTTTGCAGAGCGAAGCTGATGCATGAAAACGATGCGTGCAGACCCAATTGGTGAAAGGGGCTCGAGACAAACTTGTTTTGGCCCGTATGCAGAAAAATATATAATGTTGAGAGTGAGATTTGGAACCACGCTCTGTCGGGATCAGAAACTTAATCTGACCCCGTAGACCAACCCGACCATCTCAGCAATATCATCGCTTTTTGTGATTTTCAATATTGTTATACTTTTGGCCCATGCTAGTGTGGCACTCGCCATCAGAACGACAAGTGTAGTCTAAATTTATCCACGTACAACAGCCGGTGAAACAGCAACACCTAAACAAATCGAGTAGGCCCAGCATAGCCTCAAAAGATTCACAGGACCAAAAAACCAAAAATGGAGCAATCCTCATGGCGTCGCGCGTGATTTCGACGACGTTAGTCATTCCTCCTTGCCCTATTGCACTCAACAAATCCCGAGTTAGGCCCTCGAAGAACTCGGGAAAACGATTTCTCTGCTCATCATCATCGTTGTTTGAGGTTGGAGTTAGAAATGCGAAGATAAAATGCAAGGCCGTGAGCAAAAGCTCTCAGAGGTCCATCAAGGCGCTTTTGGCCCCCTGGACCGTTATCCTGAAGACGTCCTCGAGGTAATGAGTTTTAATTTAATGCCCTTGAATAATTTTGATGAATCCTTAACCGGAATATATTTATCTTGGCAGGTTGTTTGTACAGATCAGGATTTGTGATTTCTGCTTCATCGTTTGTAATTGCCGTATCTGCTGCATTTTTACCTGACAACTTTGCATTGATAGAAATTATTGAGCAAAACCTTGATTTGTTTTACTTGATTGGTGCTGCTGGACTCGGCCTATCCTTATATTTGATTCACATCTATGTAACTGAGATTAAACAAACCCTTCAAGCATTGTGGGCACTTGGTGTTGTTGGGTCATTGGCAACCTACGTAGCCCTTGCTCAACCAGCTGGGAAGAACTTGGTTCAGTATGTTCTTGAGAACCCAACTGCTGTCTGGTTTGTTGGCCCTTTCTTTGCTGTATTGACCGGACTTGTTTTCAAAAAGGGTAATATCATAGTCAATCCAATTAACCTTTGACCTTTAGTATAGAAAGTATATGTTCTAACTTCATATGTACATTTGATTGTCTAATAGCATATAGTTATGGATTGATAACATTTTATCCAGGCATTCTCTTATTATAAGTTTTAATCTGCAAACAGGCCTCTGCTGTGGGAAGCTGGAAGCTAGTATTCTTACATTCGTTATACCGACCGTTCTTCTTGGGCACCTGTTATTTATTTATCTTCCAACTTGATACTTTTTACTTTTGCTTCCTTTGCTGTGTCTCAGTTAGATCGATAATTTAAAATACAACATGAAAACAATACGAAAAAAAGATAGGAAAGTGATTTGAGTTAAAATTTTAACAAGGATTTAAAAAAAAAATCCAAATCTAATCTCGGGGTTTGTGTGCTGATTTACATAATGATCATCAAACTGTTGAACTTCTTTAAGTATTGTAGCTTTTAAGCTCTGCTCTATGTAGTTCTTAATAAGCTTTTAGCCTTTTAGTTGAAATGCAGAGTGGTTTGATGGATGATGGAGTAAAACTTAATTTACTGGGTTCCCGGATGACTCTCTTTGTTATATTTGCTGGAAGGAAGTTTACTCAGCCCATTAAGGTACCTTATAACTGCTTGGATCAATAAATAATGTTCAGACATCTCCAGGCTGATTAACTTCTGTTGTATGAAACAACAAATATCATTGTTCTGATGCTCTCCTGTTGGCTTTCAAGGATGATATTGGTGACAAATCTGTCTTCATGTTCAATTATCTACCCGAGGATGATGAAAAGAAGGCCTTGATTGATAAACTTCAGCAACAGAAATTACAGTCAGAAACTTTGATAGGAGGTCTGTTAATTAAAATGGGGGAGAATTTTGAGGTTTTTGATTTTGTTAGTTTACTCCGAATGTTGCCTGTGATGTTTCTTTAGTTAGCTTATATATAGCATGAAAACTTTTCAGCCTCCAGATTGTTGGTGTCTTTTCCTCACCTTGAGCATTAATGTGTAAAAATATATAATTTTTTTTTTATAAATGCTAAAAGATATTTGCTAATGGAAATAATATAACCAAATACTAATGTGACTAAAGGAAAAAAGGTATTATAGAACTCCTAAATACTTTCCGAGGTTGTTGGTTCCAGCAATGCCATATATTACAATCAAATGTCTAGGTAGGGATGTTAATTTTGTCCAAATTTAATAGAGAATTCGATTTTTAATCTAATAGATATGAGCTCGGTATTAAAATTTGGAATGAGAACAAGAATATGTATAATTTTAAAATTTTTATCTGAAACGGAATGGGACAAATAATTTAGCATTGATCTTTTATCCGTATTTATTTATATTTATATATTTTGTAAATAGATTTTTATTTAATAATATAAATTTTTATTTTAGATTAATTAGATCTAATATATTGTATTTAAAAATATATATTTATAAAATAATTACATAAATATGTAAGACAAAAATAAAAAACTAAAAATTTTTTTATTGTTTTATTTCTTTTAAAGAATTTCGGATATGAAGATTTTTCACACCCATTAAATCTCCTTTAAATAAAGACGGGGATGAATTTAAAATATTATTAAGTATGAGTACGAAAATAAATATAAATAAAAATCAAAGATAAAGATAAGTAAAATTTTATTCATCTCATATTTCACCCATTGACATCTCTGTCCTTAGCAACTCCCTTATGTGTATTCTTGGTAATAAAAATTTTAGGCTTATCAAAACTGATAATTTGTTCCGATCATTGTCTAAAGGTTTCCAACGCTTCTTTTAACTGTTTTAGCTTGATTAACTATAGTCAGGGAGAACAGTAAAAACGAAGCATAGTTGAGAAATGTTTGGATCATTACGGGATGCCTTTATTGCTTTCCATTTCTTCTTAATTTTCAACCTTGACTTGTATAATGTGAGATTGTCTTTCCTTCCCAAGAATAAATAAATAAGAGATGGAGTCCTCTTGTCTTGGTCCCCTTATTAGCAGAAATTCGTCATAATTTTCTCCATTCCAAAAAAGTTAGAAAGAAGTGGACGAAATACATGTCATCATGAGGGGAAAGAAGAGAGCTATTCAAACCAATCTCCATAAGAATCTTTCGTATAAATTGTCAATTCATCTTAGCATAGGACTTTTCGAGGTCGATCTTCCATGCCACCGCTCATGTTTTCCCTTTTTTCCTCTTGAAGGAGTGTACCATCTCTTGAGCAATCACAACATTGTCAACAATTTGTCTCACAGGAGCAATTTGCCTCGCAAGAACAGAACGACATTAACTTTACCTTGAGAGAGCTACAACACCAAGGTTTTATTTCTTTCTCAATTTTCTTTTCCACCTTTTTTTTTTATAAACTTGGGGAAGGGAAAGGGAAGACTGACACCACCATTTTAAGAATAAGGTGATTGACACCGACGTTCGTGCCACCCATCACCTTCCCCTCACCTATTTCCCTCTCTTATCGCTCTATCTTCCTAGGTTTCCTTTTTGTTTTTGAAAAACTCAGAGAAAGGAAAGACTAGCACCAGTGTTTCGGGCCAAGGTAGTGTCATAAATCTAGCAGGGAAAAACAGTAGCAGAAGGATCAAGAAGGATTATGGCTATAACAGAAAGCTGAAAGGTGATCCAATGAAAGAAGAAGCCAAGCTGGCAAATTGAGTTAAGGCAGGAAAGAGCTAAGCTGAGCGAGACAATTAAGCTGAAAGAAGAGAAAGCAGAGCTAGGAGTGGAGCTGAGAGTATGCAGACCAGAAACAGACTATGAGGATGCAAACGAGGACGCAAACGAGGAAGCTGGTGCAAGAAATTCTGCTGACTTGGCTGATGGTTACTGGTTCATTTGCATGAATTTTTGTATTGGTAGCTGTTACAATTTTGTTTTGGCAGCTGTTAAATACCTTTGTCTTTACCAGCTAGAAATTAGTATAAGCTGTTACTGGAATTTTAGCACATGATGTGCATAAAAAGCAACAGCATTGTATTGACCAGGATTATGAATGAAAATCACAAATATTTGCTTTTTGCTATTTTCTCTACTCTTTCTCTATCTATCTTCTTCTTCCTTCCGGTCTGCCTCTCTTTCTTTTTTTTTTTTGAGATCTTTCGGTATCCGGTAATCACTTTGGACCCCGACTAATCCAAAGTCGAGTCGGGTCGAATCTAGGCAAATTCTTCCAAACCTGTTTTATTTATTTACAAGACTTGGAAATCGAAATACTTAAGGGGAACCGAATTCCTTGCCACTCGGACCAACAGGCGATGGTGGTTTGCCTCCCTTTTTCTTCCTCTTTTTTGGTTCTTCACGTCACAAGCGTTCTGTGACAAATTACTATCAAAGCTTTGAAAGGTCCAACCATGGAAAAACAAGTTATGTCAGAGGATGAAATGCTTGATATTCTAGAAGATCAAGTTCAAAATCTGCAGATTCGGCTAGAGAATTTCAACAACTCTGTTCCCAATTGGTGGGAGAAGCAAATGAGAAGCATTGATACCAACTTGCATGAGCAGTGGGAGAGTCTCCTCCAATTACTTTGAATCGGGAAGCAATATCAGCAATCAACCAATTTCAACACCATAATTCAAAATAGAAGGAGTTGGCTTGCTTGAAACAAGAATGATGAAAGCAGTTTATTCTAATACTGATGAGCTTTAAATACGCAGGGAATAACACGTAGCAGTCTGGTTTAGAAAGAAGTTTGAATGTTAAAAAGCTTGATGTTGTCGTATCTGCCTTAGAACAAGCTAGTGGAAGGTCTAAACAAAGTAGCACTCTGGTAACAAAACCAAGGGAAGGTTTTGCACAAAAATCGATTGTCAGCATGAAAGCCATAAAGGTAAGAATTCGTTGACATGATGCATTTCATCAGCATAAATCATATAGTGAGATATCATGATATCATGGGACATTATTGTTGGACATAATCAACAAAAACAAGAAGTATAAGATACAATTTTACTGGCTTTAAATAGCTTTAAAGTATATGATGGCTGAACTCGCCGTAGATTTGAATTAAATAGTCCTAGAGTTGTGCTTTTTGAAGGAACTGATAATGCACAAGAAGTTACTAATGATTTTCTTTGAGTGATTTTACAAAGTTTGGCATCGTTGAGGATTTTATGACCACTATCCATTCGATTACTGCTATCCAAAAAACTGTTGATGGTCTGCTAACGAAGGACTAGAAAAATGGTAAAGCTATTTCCTTCAATATAATTCCCAGTAGCACTACAGCTGCCAAGGCTGTTGGCAAAGTGTTGCTAGCATTGAATCTCAAGCAAACTAGAATGGCTTTTTGTGTGATACCCCAGCCCAAATAATAATTGGGCTAGACTCATATCAAAGTCCATCAGTTTATTAAGAGATTAATTAGTAAAAAAAAAAGTACTGAGATATTAAATAAAAGAAAACTTAACTATTCAGAAACAAAAAAAAATATGAGTTTTTCTTTTTCATCTTCCTTAGGGTTAAAGAACATGAAAAATCAAGTTGACAATTCAAAATCAAAGACTACAATCAAGTTAATCTCCTAAAGATGAGTATATGCCCTTTTTTTATTTAAGAAAAAATATCATGTTGATTGCTATTATTTGGAGTTGAAGTTTTGAGAGAAAAACAAAAAAAAATTATGAAATCTTTCATTAATCTTCATGATCTATTTAGGTAAATTATTGGGCTTTGTTTATTTTATGTTTTTAAGATTTATTGATGATTATTGAATGGAGTTTAAAGGCTGAAAGTAGGGATTTGAATTTTTAAAGATTGAAGGAGAAATTCTGTTTTTGGATGAGATGCTATGAATTATAATAGTGAATTAAAATAGAATTCTATATTAATAGATAGATTATTGCTATGATTATTATATATCGTTGGAAAACATATTAAATCTACTTTTTAATGAAACAAACGAGAGTCGAATCCGAGTTTTTTATGAAGATTGTCTAATTTTTACTCAAGGATATGCAAGCTATAAGGTAGCAGCATCAGGGTTGAATTACGAAAATTGTCTTAATTTTTATACAAGGATTTGCAGATTAAGCCAAACATGTTTAGAAAGCTTATAAGTCTACTTTCTAATGAAATAAACGGAATTGAATTTGGAGTTTTTTATGAATAAATATGCAATTTTTAGGAGAAAATATACAGGCTATCTGGCAGCAGCATATAATGTGTATTTCAAAAATTGTATAATTAATCCACAAGGAATCACGAGATGAGCCATATATGGTTAGAAAGCTTATCGAGTCTAGTTTCAATGCATTAAAAATATTTTGATTCTGTGTTTGATATCTTAAGATATGATCATTTTAGTGAAAGAAGTGCAGGCTGCCAAAATTAGTTACTTGAGTTAATTCTTGTTTAACTTAATTATTTTGGTATAAGTGGTCTCAAATGGGTTGATTAATTACTGTTATATTGAAATTATCTTGAATAGGTCATTAATTATTTGGGGAGAAAAACTAGGTGGTGGAATCGGAATGAGGTAAGTAAAATATCACACACTTTACTTGTTTTTGAACCTATGCATATTTGTATGTTTCTAAATAAGTAAATATTTTATTTCTTTATTTTTTTATATGAAAATAGGATCAAGCATATGATTATTTTGTGTTTTTACTATGTAAATGATGGATCATGCTTATGAATGAAATGAGAAAATGATTTATATTTAAGAAATAATTTTATGATAGCTACGTTTTTACATCCCTAGAAAGTGGGATCATCAACTTCAGAACTAGTTCTACGGCTCTGGCTAACGGGTTATAATAGTTAGCATAGACATGATCAAATGGTCCTGTTAACGGGTTATAGTAGTTAGTATAAGGCTCTGGCTAGTGGGTTATGATAGTTAGCAATGATCATAAGGATGAAATTGTCGATACGGCTAATGTCATGAGTTATAACAGTGATCATAGCTAATGATAAATAAATGATAATGATGATTTATGATGATGATGATTTACAATGATTTTAATGATTGATCTATGATTTGGTTTGATTATGATATTTGAATGATAGCATATTTTGCAATGATTTATGAAGTGATATATTTTGACATTAATTTATGAATTTATGAAATATTTGACAAAACGATAATCTTTGAAATGTTTTGACATTATGATTTGATGAATATTTTAAATGCTCTATATGATATGTATGAAAATTATGCTTAATCTGATAAAGTGTATGAGCCTATACTTGTTGAGCTGTGGTTTGCTCATTCTTCATTTTCTTTTCTTTTACAGATGATATGAACGTTAAGTATAATTAGTCTTGTGAAAAGCTAAAAAATCAAATAGAAAAGATTACTTAGTCATCAGAGATAATGTTGGTTAATAAGATCTTATGAAACATTTTTGTATTTTATATGATTTGTATTGGATATATAGAGATATATCATTAGTTAGATTAAAGATATGAATTTTACTTGATAGACTATATCAATTTATTGAAGAATTTTAGAATGATTAAGAAAGAAGGCTTCATATTACTTTAGGGTTATACTTCAAGGTAATATGGTATTATTGTGTCTTGGTCTTGAAGCGTGACATAAAGCTACATTCTTAGAAAATCATCGTTAATCTAATTATCATAATTTAACTTCTTAAAAATCTCTAAAGATCATAATCGTAGTTCATAGAAAATCTCCAAAATCATATTATAAGCTCTTTAACATCTCATATAGTTTAAAAATCCTAATCTGAACTCTTAGAAAATCTCCAAGAAACATAACTTAGGCTTTTAAAAAAAATCTCATAATAGTTCAACTTTTAAAAGTTCTCCAAAGACCACAACTTAAACTCTGATACCATTTTATATCATGCCCCGAGACCAAGACGCAACATAGCTATATTACCTTGAAGTATAATCCCAAAGTAATACGAAGCCTTTTTTTTAATCATTCTAAAATTCTTCAATAAATTGATATAGTCTATCAAGTAAAATTCATATCTTTAATCTAACTAATGATACATCTCTATATATAAAATACAAATCATATAAAATACAAAACCGTTTCATAAGATCTCATTGGCCAACATTGTCTCTGACAACTAAGTAATTTTTTCCATTTGATCTTCTAGCTTTTCACAAGACTAATTATATTTAACATTCATATCATCTGTAAAAGAAAAAAAATGGGGAATGAGCAAATCACAGCTCAACAAGTATAAGTTCACACAACTTACCGGATCAAGCATCGTTTTCTTACATATCATATAGAGTATTTAAAATATTAATTAAATCATAATATCAAAACATTTCAAAGATCATCATTTTGTCAAATATTTCATAAATTCATAAATTGATATCAAAATATATCACTTCATAAATCATTGCAAAATATGCTATTATTCAAATATCGTAATCAAACCAAATCATGGATCAACCATTAAAAACTATTGTAAATCATCATCATCATAAATTATCATTATCATTCATTTATCATTAGCTACAATCATTGCTATAACCAGTGACATTGGCCGTATCGATAATTTTATCCTCATGATCATTGCTAACTATTATAATTCGCTAGCCAAAGCCTTACACTAACTACTATAACCCATTAGCCAAGGTCGTAGAACTAGTTCTGGAGTTGATGATCCCACTTTTCAGAGATGTAAAAACGTAGTTATCATAAAATCGTTTTTTAAACATATATCATTTTCTCATTTCATTCATAAGCATGATCCATCATTTACATAGCAAAAACACAAAATAATCATATGCTTGATCCTATTTTCATATAAAAAAATAAAACATTTACTCATTTAGAAACATACATATATACATGGGTTCAAAAACAAGTAAAGTGTGTGATATTCTACTTACCGCCTTTCGATTCTACCACCTAATTTTTCTCCCAAATAATTAATGGCCTATTCAAGATAATTTCAACATAACAGTAATTAATCAACCCATTTGAGACCACTTATACCAAAATAATTAAGTTAAATAAGAATTAACTTAACTAACTAATTTTGGCAACTTGCACTTCTTTCACTAAAACGATCATATCTTGAGATATCCAACTCAGAATCAAAATCTTTTTAATGCGTTAGAAACTAGACTCGATAAGCTTTCTAGCCATATATAGCCCATCTCGTGATTCCTTGTGAATTAATTAAAACAAATTTTGAAATACATGTCATATGTTGTTGCTAGACAGCCTGTATATCTTCTCCTAAAAATTACATATTTTTCATAAGAAACTTCAAATTCAATTCCGCTTATTTCATTGAAAAATAAACTCAATAAGCTTGTCAAACATATTTGGCTTAATCTACAAATCTTTGTATAAAAATTAAGATAATTTTCGTAATTCAACCCTGATGTTGTTGTCTTATAGATTATATATCCTTAAGTAAAAATTAGACAACTCTTCATAGAAAACTTGGATTCAACTCCCATTTATTTCATTAGAAGTAGTAGATTCAACATGTTTTCCAACGATATATAATAATCATTGCAATAATCTATCCAGTAATATAGAATTCTATTTTAATTCACTATTGTAATTCATAGCATCTCATCCAAAAACAGAATTTCTCATTCAATCTTTAAAAACTCAAATCTCTACTTTCAACCTTAAACTCGATTCAATAATCATCAATAAATCTTAAGAACATAAAATAAATAAAGCCCAATAATTTACTCAAATAGATCATGAAGATTAATGAAAGATTTCATAATTTTTTCTTTTATTTTTCTCTCAAAACTTCAACTTCAAATAATAGCAATCAACATGATATTTTTTCTTAAATAAAAATAATGCATATACTCACGTTTAGGAGATTAACTTAATTGTAGTCTCTGATTTTTAATCGCCAACTTAATTTTTCATGTTCTCTAACCCCAAGAAAGATGAGAAAGATAAACTCCTATTTCCTTTATGCTTCTGCATAGCTAGGTTTTTTCTTATTTAATACATCGTTTTTTTTTTTTTACTAATTAATCTATTAATAAACTGATGGACTTTAGTATGAGTCTAACCTAATTGTTATTTGGGTTGGGAAATCACATTTTGTGTTCCCATTATTGATGTTTTTATAGTTGACCTTACAGTGAAACTTGATAAAAAAGCTTCCTATGATGATACTAAGGTTGCTATAAGTAGCATTTGAAACCACCATGAAAGGAATTGTGGGCTATGTAGAACAAGAATTGGTCACCACTAACTTTGTTGGAGACAAGGAGTCAAGCATTTTTGCTGCCAGGGCAGCATTGAATTCCGGGGCTGTTATGCTTGGAGGAATTGTTGGACCAAAAGGATGACCTTGAGATCCAGGCAAGAATTCCATTGTCATTTACGACAATGGAATCTTTCTAAACATCAAATGTTGTAAAAGGCAATGAAGAGAATGTTACTCTCCAAGCAATTGAGTTCTGGATCTCTATTTGTGATGAAGAGATAGAACTTCAAGAGTTTGAGAATCTAGAAAGTGGGGATTCTGGATCTTCACATTCTCGTTTCATAATGAAGGCTCTATCGTCCTTTGTTCTTTTTGTTGTGGAAGGCCTTGCTGAAACAGGAAAAAGATCTGGACTGCGATGATACAATCTGGAATTTCTCTATGGCTAATGTTACATGTTTGAGTCATATTGCCAGAGCCTTTGGTGACGCTATAGTGCCTCTTGTAATACCATTGTGGAATCTAGCAATTTGAAGCCATATTAGCATTATGGAAAGGCTGCCAATTATGCAATTGACTTCATCCCTGAAGGTTTAATCATCGAGAGGCTCTTCCCTCAAGTACTAATAGATCAAATCATGATCCTATTCTTTAAGTTGTTTGGTTATTGCAGCTTTACTGTGTACGAGAAAACCATGCTTACAATTGGTGCGTTTGCTTATGCTTCTGGACCTCAGTTTGAGAATTATATGCTTGAGATCTACAAGTATCTTGAGACGGGACTATGGAACTTTGAAGAATACCAATTTTTTGGGATCACAGTTGTAGCTGTTGGTGAAGCGACATTGCAATTATTGGGAGTAGCTATTGTTCGTATTTTAAATTTTTGGCACTCTATTGATATACTGAAGGATATGCATGCTACCTAGGAACAGAGGAATGTTGTTGTAATTGTTATTGTTAATGGAGTTGGAAAATCAACAAATATAGCGAAGGTAACTTATTGGCTTCTGTAGCACAATGTTAGTGTTATGATGGCTGCCTATGATACATTTCAGTTTGGAGCTGTTGAGCAGTTGCGAACTCATGCGTATAGACTCTAAATTCTTATATTTGAGAAAGGGTATGGTAAAGATCTTACAATTATAGCAAAGGAAGCAATTCAAGAAGTCACTCATAATGGTTCAGCTGTTGTTTTGGTTGATATAATTGGTTTGGAGTTTTCAGTTACAACAACTTAAAGATTCGAGGAAGAGAATGAACTATAGCATTCCTCCAGTGAATAAGCTTAAGGCCAAGTTTATTGTTGGAAGAATCATATCGATAGTTGCCACTTACACATCTATGGTTACAGTCCTATCCAAGTTTATGAAGCACTGTGAAATGAGCTGGACTAAATGGGACAAGTGGATTTTGAAAGAGAATCCCACTCTAAAAGAACTTATCCAGTGGCTGTCTGTGTCTTTAGTCCTTGGGAACAGGGATCCTCTGAAGAGGAGGGTAATGACACGAATCTAGCAAGGAAGAATAGTCGCAGAAAGATCAAGAAGGATTATGGCTATAACAGGAAGTTGAAAGTTGAGTTAACGAAAGAAGAAACAAAGCTGGTAATTAAGTTAAGGCAAGAAAGAGTTAAGCTGAGCGAGAGAATTGAGCTGAAAGAAGAGAAAGCAAAACTAGGAAATGGAGCTGAGAATATGAAGACTAGGAACCGACTATGAGGATGCAGACAAGGAAGCTGGTGCAACCAATTCTGCTGACATGGCTAACGGTTACTAGTTCGTTGGCATGAAATTTTGTATTGGTGCTGTTACAAATTTGTTTGGCAGCTGTCAAATATTTGTCTTTACCAGCTAGAAATTTGTATAAGCTGTTAGTAAAATTTTAGCACATGATGTCCATATTAAGCAACAGCATTCTATCGACCAGGATTATGAATGAAAATCACAAATATTTGCTTCTATTTTCTCTACTCTTTCTCTGTCTATCTTCTTCCTCCTTCTGGTGTACCTCATCTTTTCTTCTTCCTCTTCTTTGATTCTTCACGTCACAAGCATTCTGTGACAGGTGGTCGACGTCATTGCTAGTGCCGCCCTTCCCCTTCCACTTGGCCCTTAGCCATTTCTCTCTCTCTTTTCATCCTTCTCAGTTCTCCATTCTTTCTTTTAGATTTTCTTTTTTATTTTTAGTTTTTTTTTTATTTTTAAAAAATATATTTTCATTAATATTTTATCACCACCATGTTACATACACAAAATTTTGAAATTTTATTTTAAATTTTCTTATTTCATATGCGATGTGCATTGTTAGATTTAATCGAAACCTCATTAGTCATAAATCCAAATTTAACTTAAACTAAAACTGACTTTGGATACAGACAAGAGCTCAATTCCGATTGACTGAGGTCCACAAATGCGTTGTCACTGTCACGAGCTTTCTGATGCCTTCTTTGGGCGTCCGAAAGGAGACTTGCACGTAAGAGGAGAAAGAACCGTTCTTTGCCTCCAAAAACTAAAGTAATGAAACCTAATAGACCGGTCTCATATATATAGAGGTGAGAGCAGAGATCTCCTATCACATGTTAGTCAAAATTACACATCCCATTATAAGTCTAAAAACATAATTAAATCGAGATTTAAATCGAGATTACACTTATCAACGATCATACACTACTAGAAAAATTACCTTTATTGATAGAAAATGTAGTTGATAAAAACTATTTTTCCATCGTTAATAGCATTATTGACAAATTTATCAACAAAAAAATTTCATTAATATTAATCAAGTTGACAGTGCTATTCCATTAGTTATAAACAAAATCCGTCATTAATTACCGATAAAATTTATCGACGAAATTTATATTGATAATTATCGACGATAAAATCCTTCAATAATCTATTGATAATCCGTTGGTATTCTGTCGATAATACTTATTTTTCAATTATATTTGATATATTTTATTTATAATTTTTTGTCATTTAATTTTAATTTTTTAATTTATTTTTAAAGTAATTACATAAATACTAAATATACATAAATAGAAAAAATAAATAAACAAAATGCTCCATTTTATTTAAAAAAGAATGTAAAATATTTTACAAAATTGTTTATGAATTTTATTAAATACAAATACAAAAAAATACATATATATTTCAAATTCCATACAAGCATTTGGTAATATATGCAAGTCAAATGAACAAGTACTTCCAATATACATTAAACATCTCATACAAGCATTTCATCATACATACAAGACGTATGTTTTGATCTTGATCTGTTGTCATGAGGATGTTCAAACACTGCAAAAAATGAAACAAAATATTATTAGTAGAAAACAACTAGGGGAATATGAGTAAGTGTAAATAGTAAAAAGCCATCAAGAGTTGAACAAGCCACTTGCACAAAACATGTTCAGATGCAATAATTTTTTTGAGTTATAATTGTTCAATGAAGGTAAGTTGTCTAAGTTATGAAAAATAACAATAAACTTTACCATAAGAGAGAATGGGAACAAATTGGCAAATAATAATAATAATAATAATAAAGGATTAAATTTAAAAGTATGGAATAAACAAAAATCTCTTTTGAGAAAAGCACGCCATTTGCCTTCTTCATGGCTTCAACCTTGTTTTATAAGGAAAATCTTATTATGATTGGCTAAGGTCTTTCAAGGCTCTTCAAGTTACAGAAATAAATGCACTATCTCATAAATATCATATTAACAAGAAAGTAACTTACATATCTCCTTCACAATAACCTATAATAATGCATACATAGCAACCCCATAAACAAAGACATATGTGAACCCATGTTAGGCTATAAAACACCAAGAAGGTTATGATATATTAACATCATGAAAATTAAAGCATATAATCAAAAGGTATATAAAAAGTATTTAACTGCAGTAGAACTAAAGCCTACAATATCATCCTTAAAAACACATATTTCATTCAAAGTTATTACATCAACAGCTTAGATAAAATACAATTTTGAAATCTCAACCATTCACAATGGACCAGTCCATCTAACCATTCACATTATGAAGATGCTATCTTTTTATAGTCCATCTTGACAATAACAAGGTTGCCTAAGCAATTATCTACTTGCTGTCATTTAATCATGACTACAACAGGTTGCCTAAACCTTAATTGCCTATATATTTGGGAGATTTTTGGGTGTTTGGTAGTTGTATGGAGAGAAATTAACTAAGTTTAAGTGTTGAATGTGTGGTGTGTTCGTAGGGAGTGATTCTCTAATCCTAACTGTGTTTTCTGAAGTTATTGTCTTCCTTGATTTCAGTTTTCATAGTTCACCACCATGAAATTGGTAGTAGGGGAAATGAAGGCATACCATATGGCATACAGCTACAATAATAAATTTTAACCATGGAGAATGAGATTAGAAAAGAATAGTTATGCAAAGATTATCTCGAATAAAAGAATCTTAAAGGCCCTTGATTGATTGAGACCAAAATTTGATTCATATTTTTAGTCCCCTAATTTCCTTTGACAATTGACACAACACATCTAAAATGTAACCATACTATAACAGGACAAAAAACTGAGTTATTAAACACTTAAAAGCACTCCTTCCCTAAAATCCTCCACCAGCATCTGAAACTTAGTTCTTGATCTAGGCTGTTTAGTTTTGTTTCCAATTCCAAAACTCCACTTTGCTCCTTTAGAAAATAATAATCCAAGCTCCCTTTCAACTTCACTATTGTAAGAAAAGAATGTAAGGCAAAGCAAGAATAACACTAATTCAAGAATAGACCATACAGATTTCTAAACTAAATGATATTTGTGGTTTCTTTGGGTTTTCATTGTGCATAACTGATTTTCCTTGTGAGTTAGTACATACACAGTTTTCAAAAGATCTCTCCATGGATTTGCCTCCAACACTGAACAGGATGAGGTGCGAGAAAAGTAGTGAAACTTTGTGAAAGCAATCAAAATAAAATTAGTGAATCATATTATGAATGAAGCATCAAGCCGTGAAGAAACAACACAGGTTGTCAAACAATTTACAACTATTACCAACACTAAAAGTATCCATCAATAAATTCCAGTACACCAAGTACATATAGAAACTCATACTCTACAAATATCAGATAAAACTGCCAGCATGATTGGTTAACTCTATGGAAGAAGTTGAAGTAGCAGCATAGAATGATTGGTTAACTCTATAGAAGAAGTTGAAGTAGCAGCATAGCAACTAAGTATTCCCTTTCTTTTCACCTACATCACAATCATAATACAAAACAATTGAGAAAACCACAGACTAACTGGAAAACAATGCCAAACTGAAATGCAAAGAAGACTTACATATCACCAGAAAACATATGCTAGATTTGATGGCAATGTTCCAAAGAAAAATAGATTGAACAAGAACTATATCTAACGTTTTAACTTCTGAATCTCCATTAGAATCATAAACTTAACATGAATTCTACTTTCCAAAATACTTTCAAATCAGAATATTCACATAGATGGAGATTTAAGAATAATGCTTATCAGTAGATATGTTTGGTCTATTATCTCCACAATAAACATACCTGGAAATCTATTTCCATATACTACAGCACGATAAACTGTATTATTTAGGTAGAAGTTTAACAGGAAAAAAATCTGAAGAAATCAAATAAGAATGAAAAACATATACTATTTCTAATGATTACTTCTATTCGTTAAAATAATTTAAATATATAGTAATTGGCTAAGAACAGCCACTTTAACTTAAAACATAGCTCATACGAATCATTGATAAGATTCACAAATTAATTCTTAAAATTAAAATTACTTTAAAATCAAATGAAAAAACATGTGATCTGTAATTACCACAGCCAACTAAACCAGCCATAAGAATAGCTCATCTTGTTCCAAGTTGCTCATCATCTATATCTTGTGGTTTTTTTTTTTCTAACATATCAAATCATGAGTTTCATCGAAGAAAAGCCACAAAAAAAAAAAAAAACACAGCCTCAGTCAAACTCAAACACTAAATCAAGATCAAGCACAACCACGTATTTGAAGATTAAACATTTCTATTTAATTTCAAATTACCTCTTTTTTGTTGAAATATTTTAAAAGACTGAAACATTTGCAAAAATTGTGCTGCCCTGTTGCAAATACTGTGAGAATGAGACTATAAGAGCTATCTTGCCAAAACTAATGTTGGTTGCACTGCTGCTATATCCTAGGGTACAAAGGACAATGACATGGTGGTTGGAGTTTTGGAACCCTTGAGTTTTAAAGCGAGAAAGGGAGAGGCGACTAAAGCTTTTGATCAGGTTTTCTGGAGAGGAGAAGGAAACAGTGATAATGGCTAAAACCTGGAGGCGGAGCGTCTGCTTTCGAGAAAGAAGAAAGGTACACCACTCAGAGAAAGAGGAAGAAAAAGGAAAACGAGAAGACTAGGAGAGGTTGTTACGAGCTGGACGGCAAAGGAGCAGTGATAGGCGGTGGCTGGAACATGGAGATGGGGTTTTGGTTTGGGAAGGAAAAAGAGAATGACACCGCTTGTGAGAGAAGAAAGAAGAGGGGGAGAAAAAAGAAATAAGTTTTTACTTTTTAAAGTATTTAATATTTTTAATTTATTGTTTTTAATACCGACGTATTATTCAGACCTTTAATAACTTATCAATAAAAATTTGTAAATGATATCCTAATATCTAATAGGGATACTACTAATTTAGGTATATTTAAATATGATACCATAATAATTGTTCATTAATTGATATTAATTAATATAATTTAATACATAATGACTTTATTAGTCTAGGAATATGAGACAAATATAATTTTATTAGTTAAATGTCATGTTAATAATGTTAGTTCATGAATTAGAGTATCACACGATTTTTTCTAAAAAAATATATAACACAATTTGAAAGTTTATGTATTAATTTGTATTTTTTATTATTTATGTATTAATTTTTACATTTCCTCACAATTCGAATATAAAATATATAATCAACTCAAACTAAATATTTATAAATAATTTTAAATAGTAGGTATTTAAACCTTCAAATTCAAAACATATCCAAAATATAACAATTTTATTTTTACCATTCATGTCTTATCTATATCTATTTATAATTTTTTAAAATCACTTTCTACGGATAAAAAATCCAATTAAAATTCATATATGGTATAAAATCAAATGATAGGTTCCAATGGCTTCAACTAAAGTTTTGATTCAATTCCCCATAAAAATAATTTTTTATTTAGATTTATGATTTTGTCAAGGAATCCTTATATCATACTTAAAACATGAGTGGTATAACCAAAACCAATCCACCAAGTGTTATAAGGAATTTTTACCAAATTTAATTTAAAACAAACGAAAGCATTAAGCTTACATTTTCTTTGAACTATTCTTTACATTCCAAACAATTTTTTTGATAGTGTCTAAGCTTTCAGCAGAGATGACACTAATCTTTCTCTTGTTTCTTCTTGTTAATTTAGGTAGATGACATATTAGGCTTTAGTGGTCCTTTATTGCCATTATTTTTCTTTTTTGCTTTCTTTTAACTCCTTAATTAGCCCATAAGATTAACTGAATGAATTCTTTGCTTTTTAAGCCTTGCTTCCTTTTCATAAACATACCTTGTAATTCGGTCACCTTTCATTTATTTTTTATAGTTTTGTAATTTATTTGGAATGGATTATACTTAAGAGTTAATGTGTTTATAATGAATTAGATAAGGAAGCTTTCACTCATTTCCATTCTTATGGATCTTAATCTTACTACTATATTTGTTATTTCAATGACATGATCATGCATGATACAAAAATCATTAAACTTTACGACGGTTGACGTACCCATTAATATCCTAGCAAGTGACTTATAAACAAAGTCAAACTAAGACAAATCTTTGGCAAGCTTCAAAAATTCCTTAGTATTATCAACTTTAAAACTCATTGACTTAATGGTGTTTGCTATTGGTATCTGCATGAAAATGTGAAACATTTTGATTTAAGTAGTTTGCACTTTATTCCTCTCTTTTTTTCCTCATAAAGTCTTCAAGCTTATCCCATATCTCTTTAGCCATGGAGCAATTTAAAATATTGTTGAAATACTCATCATTCACGACACAATAAAGCATTTTCATAGCCTTACAATTTGCTTTGATAAGCTTCAAGTGCTTTTCATCTGATTCTTCATCATATGTAGGAACATCAAGCCATTTGCTAAAAATTATCCTTCTTTCCATGTCATGAGCCACAATAAAAGCTTTTATTCTCGTCTTCCATTGAGGGTATTTTTAACTTTTAAACATATGAGGCATCTTAATGGATTGCCTTTTCACCAAATGTTATATTAAAAACTTAAGCTGTAGGATCACTTTTAAGTTGTTAGACCTACAAAAAATATAGTCCAAGCTTTGATACTAATTGTTAGTTCAAGTGTACATAAAAATCTAATGCGGTAATTAGATTATTTTAAATTCTTGCCCAAAGATAAACATCAATACATTTTAATAGAAAATTGAAAATATATAAAAAATATAAAATTAAAGCACAAATAAGTAACTTGAAAATTAAAAGAGAAAAGATAAAGAAATCAAACACAAGAATTTGTAAAGGTTCAATTTTTCTTTAAAAGCACATACATTCTCTTTCTTAGCTATTTTAGCCAAGTGCAATCCACTAGTAGAAAAATTCTATTACAAATTTCAATTCTTATGTTTTAATTTTAAGATAACAACCTCTACCCTTTCTAGGATTTATCGAATCATTTTTACAATATCTCTCAATAGGATACCTCACTCTCGACTCAAAAGTCTTTTTTAAACATGTTGATGGTGTTTTGGTTACGGATGAGCTAAATGGTGATTTGGAAGGTCGTGTTGGGAATAACCTATATCTACAATAGAAAAGCACGATCAAAGGGGCTTCAGAGTTGTTTCTTTAAGACATGCTCTGATACTCAAGTTAGTCAAGTGTCTATGATTTTTAGAGAAAGAAGGTAAGTTGGCGTGATTGTATAGGAAGCTTAAAAGAGAAGGGTTCAGATAACCGTACCTAGACTTTTTTTTTCCTTATATATGAGACAATAAGCGATGATGTAATTAGGATTGTTGACAATTAATAAGAAGTCAATGCAGAGCTCGATGAAAGGTCATATAGGTGAGTGTGGGCTGCATTTAATGATCCTAGGCTAATGGGTATCATTTAATGATCCCAAGTAAATTAAAGGTTAGTTGTTTTGTTGTGAAGTGATGTCCTATTAAAACATTAGTGATAATAGTTTAGCAATCCTATCTATAAATGAAAAAGTGGAAGCGAGCATATGTTATGATGAAGAGTCTGGATGTCGATCCTTTTTTATGGTGATGTGTTTGATGTGTTAGTTGAACGCATATTGACTTGTCAAATGTGAAAGTTGACCTTGTTGATGTATAACAGAAAATAAAAAAATTTGCAAATTATAGGATACCTCTTCAAGATTAAGTGTTTTTCTAATGAAGTACAAAAAATGATAAATGAAGAACAAATATAGTTTGGATACAAGAATGTGAAGAATTAAAGCTTTAAAATTTTTAATGCACTTAAATTTTGAGAAAATAAAGATAAGGGTTTTTATTTTTGTTCTATATCTTTATAAATGTGTCAGAATGTCCATTTTATAGTTGAAATAAACTTGGAGATGTTGGAGAAAAGTTGGCAAAGAAAAAGCTATTAGTCCTTTTGAAAAACTAGTTGCTGAAAGCTGTCAGGGGCTTAGGAATCGATTCTATCCATAAGCGAATCGATCCCTTCATGCATTCCATTCAAAATTTAGATGTTGTAGGCTAAGGGATTGATTCTTTTTGACAAGGTAACGATCCCTTCATGTTGGGCAGCATTCAAAGATGTTATGGCCTTTTTGCACTTTACTTATTAAATTGACTATATCTTGAGTTATAAAACTCCAAATCAAGATTCGTTTGAAGATTTAAAAGATATACATAAAGATCCTTCTATTTATATAACAATCAACATTTGAATCAATGTATAAGAATTACAATGAATTTCCAAAACTACCATATGTGCGGTTGTTAAACAACTTGTACAATCTTTAGTAAAAATTTAACATTTTTATTTGAAAATTTTGGATTCAATTTCGTTTAATCCATTAGAAAACAAACTGAACTAGATTTCTAACTATATACAATTCAAATATTAAAAATTTATAAACAAATACAGAAAATAAGTCATTGTTATTGTTGCCAAACCATATTCATACAAAATAACTTTCTTTAGCTAATCCATTTTTCAAACTAATATTATTAAAATTATATAGAGTTCAATATAAATGAATTCACTTTAAAAATAACAATTGGACTTTCATTTATGCTTAAATATATAATATTTAAAAAATATTTTTGGTTTTGAGAAATAAGAAAATAAGGAAAGGTTTGTTTAAACTTAAGAATCATTTTTCAAATAATTGTTAATTTTGGAAACTTGTATTTTTTAGATAAACATTAAGACCAAGCTTCCAAAACATTGTTCCAAGATATTTTTCAAATCAAATAATAATTCGAAAGACAAAGTATTTATTTAATACATAAAATAATAAAACTTAAAAACATGTAGTAAATAAATTTTTTTTTTCAAAATCTTGATTAAGCTTATTTAGCATAATATTTGTCATTTTAAAATGAGGACCAATTAGGTAAAATATAAAAAAAAAACTCTTAAAGTATTCAACTTTATTTAAATAAGCTCCTTATACTTTTCTTGTATCCAAATAAATCATTATACTTTCATTTGAATCTTTATAAGCCCTTAGTTCAAATAAAAGATTGATTTATATTAAATGTTTATTTAGGTACAAATTAAATATTAAGGGTTTATTTAGATACAAATTAAAGTTTAAAGATTTATTTGGATGCAAATTAAAGACTAAAGGCTTATTTAGGTGCAATACAAGTATAATGCTTATTTAAATAAAATGATAAAATTCAAGGACAATTTTATTATTTTAGTCGGATTAATTCACAGCCAACAATCTCTCTCTCTTTTTGATATGATAAAACTTAAAGATAGTTTACCATAATCCAACACATTCTTGAATATATTATTTAAGCACATATATTCATAAAATATCATCTATATATTCATTTAAACACCTATATAGCATATATGAAAAGCAAATTTATCCATCAAATATTTCTCCCCTTTTTTATAATAGCAAAAATGAGATCATTCAAGACATAAAAGAGATCAATTCAAGGCATCGAATAATTTCTAGAACAATTAATTCAAGCATAAAGAATCCATGTATTCAAGTGCAATATATACAATGAAATTCAAATAATGTATTCAAGCACAAGAGCATCAATTTATCAATGGATCCAATTTAAACATTTTAGCACAAAACTCATAAATTTAATACATGACACTTATGAGTACAAAGATAGAAACTTGATATGCATGTCTCATAAATCATGTCATTATAAAATGCGTTTATAATTTAAAACATCAATATCATGTAAGAGTATATTTAAGTTCAAACTAATTGCTAAAGATATGGTACCACATAAATAAAC